GAACATGCTACCGTAGTACTATCTAATTGGAATATCCTTTGATTTTGGGTTTGCTAGTAAAAAAAAAATGCTACCTATGTTATTAAACATAAAAACAAAAGTAGCAGTAACATTACTAGTAAATATAAAAAGAAATAAAAAAATGATTTTTTTACAGCAAAATATTTCAATTAAAATTGAAATATTTTAAAATCGAATACAAATTATTTGATTTTAAACCGAATTTATCGAATTTATTTCGATTCGGTTTTGAATTTTTTTTTTAATTTGATTAACCAAAAACCAAATCAAATTGTACAAAACAAAACCGTTTAACCGTTTGTTCACCCCTACTAGCTAAGATAAACACACACAAGGTCAATGCATAAAAACATGTAAAAAAACACAAATCACATAAAAACAGACTTCACAAAAATTAAAATAGCTAATAGGTCTTCACAAGGTCCTCGGCCTATAAATTCATATTTGGCTCATTTAATTTTCTAAAACAAATTGCTAGCCTATTGCTAGTTTCATCTTTGAACGACATTTCTATAGGGACTTTTATAGAAAATAAAAAATAACATACAATCTTTATTTTTATTTTTAAAAAACAGAGACGACGCCTTGAGAGTATATTGATTAAAAATAAAGCATACAAGGGAAGACAATCTAGCCTCGCCTATCATGCCCGGAGGACAAGGAAGCTTAAACCCCTAAAGAGATGACTCGCAATGATCCCGCAATTACATGACAACTATAATAAGGCAACCACTAATACTTAAAACGAAATAATACAAGCATTATTAGACTATTGCTATACATGAATAATTATGCATAAAATCAAATAGTACCATAAATATAGACATTCCATACATAACCAAAAGGCTAGAAAAAACAAACAACCATAAAATTCTGATTAGAAACTAGAGTTGCCGACTACAGTTTATTGATGAAGTACGCTAGTTAGTCCAGCCATTTACTAAGCTTCCTTATGTCAACCATTTCGCCTGAAGGAGATAAAACCCTGACCATCCTGTCGAATATATTGCATATACTTGCTAGGAATATCCGATAGAGACCATATAGTTTTGTATGAAGTATGTTAGAAAGCCCATGCTGCAAGTTCATCAGCTACTTTATTTCCTTCTCTGTCGATGTGTTAGAGAGCTGTTTATGAAGTTATGTCTACCTAGTAGCCCCATAGGATGTAAGTAAGATGCCATGGGAGTTTTTGTAATTGCACCAACCCATTTAAAGCTAGAGCAGAATCTGCTTCAATGATGGACGGGTGAAAATTATGGGTTTTGCATAATCTCAAACCATCTCTAATAGCCATCAATTCTCCCTATTGTTGGTACCATCTCCAAAGTAAATGGAGAAAATCATCAACATCATCCTATGTTCATTCTGAAGGATACCCCCCTACTGCACATGCCTCCCCATGAAGCACCATTAACGTTAAGTTTGAGAGCACCTGGAGAAGATGGAGACCATCTTATCCATTTACCTTTGGCTATGGTTAGCATCTAAATGTGAATTCCTAAAGCCTTAAGACAAATCATATCATGATAGGAACTGGGCCTTTCGAGTTGAAAATATTATTGAGCTCTATCATCTAATGGATCACCTTTAGTTTGATACTAACCATATTCATTCCCTCGTCTTTAAATACTGCTTTATTCAGTGCTAAACATAGTTCCCAAATAACCATATTGAAAACCACCAAGTGGGAGAAGTTTTTTTATGTTACAGGTTTGCATTTGGAAAGCCATCTTGATGTTAGCTACATTACTGATTTTGCACATGGGGTAACATCTAGAATATTACAAAAATAACTCCATAAATGAGAAGCTGTAGTGCTAAGAATAAATAGATGGTTTCTAGTCTCTTCTTTAGGCCTGCTGCAATATTTACATTTTGATGGTAATGGGATTCCACACATTCGAACTCTTTACATCAACAGCTAAAGCATTGTGCGTAAATTTTCATACCATGATTCCCATCTTCCTTGGAATCCATTTGTTCCATAAACTCCCCCACCACTTAAATTTAGGACTAGGAGTTCTATTTGCTTCATGATAAGCCCTTGAACTAAATCTACCTGACTTAGACTTCATGTAGCATAACATATCAGTTTCGTTATTGTCCAGATGAATGAAGTCCAGTTCATTTCTGATTGGGGAAGGAAGGGAGGCATAGATCAATGGATCATTTTTTGCTTGAGCTAGCAAGATTTTCAAATCAATGTCAGGAGTGATAGTAGGCAGATCTAGTGTTGTCCATTTATTAAAGGTCACTAGTCCCAGCTATCTAAATTGAACTGCCCAGTAGGATTTTTATATGCGGCACCAGGGATCTCCAAACCAGCGACTCTTTGTTGCTATTCAGCTGAAGAATATCAATAGGAGTACCATATTTAGCTCACATAAATCTACTCCATAAAGAGGAGCTAGATATAAAAGCCCATGTAAGCTTCCCTTTCATAGCCTTCATAACTTCTCCTTAATTTTGATGCCCAAACCACCTTTTTGCATAGAAATAGACATTTTAGCCAACTAATCCAGTGACGTCTACTCTCTACTCCACTATTCCAGAAGAAATTAGCTATGTAGTTTTGAAGCCTAGATATGGTTGTTTTAGGTATGGAAAGCACCCTCATGGTGTATATAGGAATCAAGGATAAAACACTCTATATGAGTGTTAGTTTTCCACCGGTTGATAACACCTTCCCCTTCCAACTAGTTAGCTTATCTTTAATTTTTGTTTTAATATAATTGAAGTATTAAATGCAGCATCTTCCTTTGAAGAGAAGCATACCCAAGTATTTCACCACTTCTGATGCTAAAGGAAAACCTATCCGTGAAGAAAGTAGATCCTGAGTCAGGAATACATTTTCATGGATGGCTCTTCCATTCATAAATCCCGTCTATTCTTGAGAGATTAAAGAGGGAAGGATCCTCTTAAGCCTTGTAGCGACCACCATAGATAGTATTTTTTTATGAAAAGTTACATAAATTGATTGATCTCATATCTGAAAAGCTAGCAAGATTCAAACATTTGGGGATCAAAATTAGGTTGGTAGCAGTAACGGCTATCGAAATGTTTCCTCCTTTGAATATTTCTTATACTGCCAGAACCACATCCGTACCAATAATTTCCCAACAAGTTTTGAAGAAAGCACCAATGAAACCATCAGATCTAGGAGCACGAAGCTCATCTAGTTTAAAAACTGTTGTTTTCACCTCCTCTTTAGTAGGAATGGACATTAATTCCCTATTCTGCAATTTTGAAATTATATGGGTAATTTCCTTCAGAAAAGTATCATCCGTGTTGCTTGCTTCACTTGTGAACAATTTTTAAAAGAAATCCACAGCTTCTCTACCAAGTTTGTCATCATTTGTACATACTTATCCTCTAGCATTAATCCAAATCGAGGCTTATTTGCATAGTTCCTAAAGCTAGCATGAAAAAAGCTGAGTTTCTTTCACCTGCAGCCAATCATTTAATTTTAGATTTCTCCGAAAGTAATAGCTCCTCTGGGTCAATTAATTTAGCTAGGCACTCTTTGTCGACGGAGAGTTTTGCCAGATTCATTTCACCTCAGTCTTTTAGCAACATTTATTCTAATCTGAGTACCTCATCTTATGCCTCATTAATTTTCCTGTTGATGTTCCTAAAAATTTCCCAATTTCATGTTTTAAGTTTATGCCATAGAGCCTTTAATTTAAGATAAAGATTAAGGAATAGTTCCTGACTCAAGGACAAGCTCTACTGATTTTGGATGAAAGGGAGGAAATCTACATGTGTTGTCCACGTCCTCTTAAAAGAAAACCTCGCTGGCTTAGGGCTAGAGCTTACCATTAATAATAATAGAGGGTAATGGTCAGAGTGCAATCTTGTAAGATGAGAACAGACTAAATGTGGTGCCAACATAAGGAAAGTAGTAGCAACTAGCACCCTCTCCAATCTTTTCCAAATACAAGTTCCTCCCTACTAATTGTTATACCATGCGAATTTATAGCCTATGTATCCTATATCCTGTAGGTCGAGACTTTGTTTTCCATTATTAAAATCAAAGATGGAGCTAGAGTTTGATTGTGTACCTCTAATTTTCTCCGACATCTCAACTGTAGCATTAAAATCCCTGCCAAGGATCCAATGCTGGTTAATATGTAAGGACTCCAGATTATGCCACATAGTTCTTCTCTCCACCATATTACAGCTTGCGTAAAATGCTATTAGGATGAATTCCACGTCTACTGTAGTGTCTTTCACAGCCATGGTGATAGATTAAGAGCATATTGCCCTTATATCAACTTGTGCTTTTCCTTTCCACAATACCCACATGTGCATTTTTATAGGGTTCTCTTGTGCGTAATCCGTAAAGAGTAGTGTTTTGGCTAACTTATATAGCTTTTTAAAATGTTGCTTTGGTCCTAAAATAACAAGAAGAGAGACTTATTGCTACCGTAATAAACATCTTTTTTTCTGGGGTACCGATCCCCCTTATATTCCAAATAATGTTATTCATAGGGGAGGGAGAATAAAGGTTCTCCATAATGATCTTCAGTTGATCTCGTTACCCTCTTATTACTGCTTTGTACCAGGCTTCTTAATAGTTTCTTTTTTTGTTTGTTTGTCAAAGTGCATCCTTAAGCACGTATCATCTCTAGCCTCCCCAGACATTCTCTCTCAACCTAATTTTGCTTATTCTTTCCAAGTTTAGAATTTACCTTAGGTGTGAGTTCGGGTTCTACATGTGTCATTAAGGTCCCATCATCCATACTACAGTGTTGGCTACTTATCAAACAGCTAACTCAGTTAGGAGAAACCATGTCCTCTAGCTTAACCACAATGGTTTCTACTACTGGTAAACTCATCCTATATGACTGTGATATCTTTATGCCCATTCCCTCACCTACCCTACTGGTCTGAACCTGTTGCTATGTCATCTCTACCTTAGTACATTGTTTCGATGTGGAAGTATTTCCCAAACATGTCTTCCCAATGCCACCAATCTAAGTACCCTTACTTCCCTCCCCTAACGAATTTTGCATCTGAACTTTGTACCTCACTCTATCTGTTTCCGTATCCACCAAAGCCAACAAATTACTTCCATTCCCTAACACATCATCCATACTGCCCTGTTGGCTACCCATCAAACCACTAAATCGATTAGGGGAAACCATCTCCTCTAACTCAGGCAGAGTGGTTTCTGCTACTGGTAAACTTATCCGATATGGTTGTGATATATTCCTGACTAACTCTTCAGCTGCTCTACTAGTCTGAGCCTGTTGCTGCATCATCTCTACTTTAATGCATTGCTTCGATGTGGAAGTATTTCCCAAACACATCTTTTCAGTACTAGCAATATCAAAACCCTTACTTCCCTCTCGTAACAAGTCTTGCATCTTGGCTATGTATCTCACAATATCTGTTTGATTCATATCCACTAAAGCCAACATATTAATACCCTTATTACTGTCTTTATTTTTTATTTTATTTTTTTGTTTTGTGCAGGAGTGTTATAGATGAAGATTACTCTCATGAATTCTGAAACTGAAAGCTGCCCCCTCGGTGGGTTCAGTAATTATTGGCTCTAATGGTAAATTACCTTGAGACGTTATTTTACCTTTCCCCTGTTCCAACTATGCTGGGATTGGTTGCTTCTACTTCTCAACTCTTTTCCATGTCTGTTTACAACCAACCTTTTATCTTGCTCCTTGGTTGTGGATTGTACCAGTATACTATAAGGGGTGCTGATTATGTGTGGAGCGCTTACGATAATTAGCTCCTACTTAACCCTATAGATGCCAATAATCACAGAATACAATAATAGCTTCCACCTGGATAGCTTGCCAGAAACCCTTGGTTTTGTCCGAACCTACTGAAATCCATACATTGATTTGGGATTTTTTTTTTTTTTGTGAGATCCACTTCAACGAAAGCCCTTGCATGAATTGGATAAGATCTGTTTCTTGTCCTTACATCAGGACTTCGAAATGTATCGAATGATCAGATAATTTCAGTAGGAATGCTACTGGAAAGAAAGGTAGAGGGAGTCTAGGTAATCTTACCCATATTGCAGCTCTTGGTGATTCAAATCTTATGGAGAAAGAGGCATCCCACTTGAACAACCTAAAAAGAGAGTTCTCAATGAGGTGATTACCCTCATACCAGGGTTTGATAAAGTTTTCCATACTAAACATCATTATCAAAACGTGTCTAGGATCTAGCGGTCCCACCACTGGGATTTCTGCCAGCCCCCATTGTTGCTGTATATGTGTTCTAATGGTGTTAATAGAGGGCTTGCTTCTGGAGAATTTAGCCACCAACGTGTGTTCAAAAATACTAACAAATTACTACAGATCCATCGTCGAGAACTCTACAGAGGGTTCCCCTTCATACGTGGACAGTGGCTTGAGCGTGATGGTAATGGGAAGAAAGTAGTGGTTGTGTAACGGGTTGGATGTTATTATGGCTACATAAGAGACTTTGGGTATATCAGGTTTTTGGCGAGTTGCGGTATCAGGACTGGTTTGCATGGTGTTCATGGGGATTGGAATAGGTATAAGGTTGGGGACTATAAGGATCGGAGAGACAGTCTCCCCCATGGGAGAAACGTGTTCACTAAGAATTCTACTAGGAGATTGGGACGACCATGGCTGCTAGGGTTCCTTAAAAAATAATATACAATCATGTCATTACCCTTAACCTCAATTTTTTTTTAAAAAATAGTAAATATAATACATACAAATAAAAAAATATACCAAAAATATTAAATGTTCTCAACCCAATAAAAATCCTCATTTTATCACATATACATGTCAACTAATTTAAATTTTAATTCTTTTAAATGTTTCCAATAACATCAAGAATTCTTAATTTATTATTATTTTTTTATTAAGCCAAAATTTAAAAATTTTTAATCCGATTAATTGTCACAATTCTATGTTAATCACATAACTCATATTACAAAATATAAATCAAATATATAAGCATGCAATCAATAAAAATTTGGATGAAATTTTTTTTTAAAAAAGTTCAAATGTGGGGGCTATAATTGTGAAATAAAAAATTCAAGGACTCGAATTGAACACAAACAAAACAAGGAGAAGGTGATAGACCTAGCATTTGTGGCTCGTGCTTAGGCATTGTTTGGACTATTTGCATGTGTGAGGGAGTGTCGAACATAGGATGGGTAGCAAACCAATGGCATTGGCCTCATCTCTTGCTTTCGATCATAGAGGTATGACATGATTCAATTTTTGTGGGGCTGGAGGAGTGACGGATTTGTAAACTTTGACTCGCTGTTTTTGGCTATTTAGGTTTTGTTTTGTTTTGTTTTTTTGTTTCTTTTTTGGGTTTTTAATAGCTAAGGTTTCTCTTTTTCTCCCCTTAGTGGCTATCTCTTCTCTCCTTTTTTGTGTGTGTATGCCTAGTATTTGTAGGAGTGCTTCTAGGGTTAACTTTTGATTTTTTCCAATTCGATCAAGCTTAATGGCCTAATCTCGACTTACTCCTCTTTTATTCCTTTCGATCCTAATCTAGGCCCAATTCCTTCATTTTTTATTTTTTTCTTCTTTTTTTTATATTTTTTATAGGGGTAAAAAAAAGGGTGACGATAATTGCCCCCTATTTACAATGCTTATGTATACTAGATATAAGAAGATAAGTCTTCATACATCTTGACTTAGTGAACTTGTAAAGAAGAGATGTGACAAGGAAAAAATGACTAACTCGGAGAAACGAACCAAATAAATCAAATACACTAACCATCTCGAGGTGATTTGATTTTAAAAATAAATCAAACATACGAACCATCCGAAGGATCATGCATCCTATGGAGGTGTAAAATAAACAAAAATTTTCCTCCATCTAAGGCCTCAAGGTTAAGCCATTGAATCTATTAACCATACGTACATGGATAATCAGCTAGTAGTAAAGGATTACCTCTTTTATCGTAGATCTAAATTCCTTTTCAGCAAAACCGTCCAAGTGTTTGACCTTTATTGATGATCCAAGCAATCCAAGTGTCCACAAAGAAGCACTCAAAATTAGTGAGGTGTTAGCTCCACCTTTTCTAATTTAGTATTTTATCTAGAAATCAATCCCAAGCTATTTTGTGACAACCTTAAAGGAGAGAGAAAAAGTATTTCTTACAAGGGTTTAGGAGAAAACTATTTTCTCCTTCTTTTTTTTTCTCTTGGCTATGTGCCCTATTTAATTTTAAGGTTGGTCGAAACTTTTCTCCCTTTTTCCTTTGGCTGAATATTACTATATGATTATCAAGCTTGGCTAAAATAATCTTTAGGTTCATTAACCTCTCAATGTCACACCTTTCCTCCTATATATATAGGGGAAGAGTTTCCTAGTCCTCCAAGGACAAGGAGAGGGGTGGCCACAAGTCATTTTAGGACTTTAGTTTATTACTTTCTTATCCCTCAAGGATGATAAGTTATTTTATATGTGGAATATTTGAATATTATCTTTAAAACATTCAACCTTATCCAAGAAGGTTGATGTTTATCTTTAAAATATTCAACTTTATTTAATAAGGTTGATATTTATTCTCCCACCAAAATATCTTAAGTCTTTTTAATTAAACCTAACGGGCCAAAACTATTTTAGCCTAATGAATTTATTTTGGACTATCCAAATAAATATTCTTAGATTATTTTGATGGAGTCCACATTAGGAAACAATTTTTCAAAATACCCTTTAACCTAAATTAGGAAACTCCTTTCCTTTTAGGTTCTTTATTTCCAAATTTGAAACTAACTTTCAAATTAGGATTTCAAATTAGAAAATTGATTTCTAAAATATAAAAATTTTCATTTTAGGAAACTTTCATAATTAAGGAAACTTTTCATTTTAGAAAACTTCTATAATTGAAAACTTTTTCCAATATATTTGCTTCTCATTTATAATATGAATACTTAAACTTATGTGTGTGACTTAATAGGCTCTTAAATATGTTGGCAATGTATCAAAAATAAAAGCTGCTTTTTATCTCTTGATACATAAATCAAGATTGGCCTCTAGCAAGACATCATGACTACCTAATTCTCTAGGGGGATTAGTTAATTCATTATTACTTTTCATGAGCATGATTACCATACAATTCAGTCCTCATGTCAACTTATCACGAGTGTGATCTCAAACTTAGTTATAAGTCTTGTTTGATTATAATCATATAAGTTTTCTTTGATTCCCAAATGTCTTAGCTCATAGAGTAAACTAACTATGCTCTATTGGTATACTCCTAATGTGATCACAGATTTCTCGAGCGAGACTTTTATCAAAGTGTAATGAGATGACTCCTTTAGTAAATAAGAAATGAAATGTCCTATCTTAGTCTTACACCTACCTTCATTGGATTCCTAATACACCCAACGAATCACCCATGTGCAACCCATTAATGGGTCTATCAAAATAAGTGTCAAAGTGCATCGGTCCTCCAATAAGACAACCATGACGACTTCAAGTCTAAGTACCATTTTTACCTATATCGTATGAGATTCTCATAGATAAAAACTAAATAGGTTTTCATAGTTAGTCAAGTCCAATGATATGTTCTTTAACATAAATCACCTAAGTACTTGTTTTGACATCACCATGCCAATAGGTGTGAGATCTCCTACTGCTATCATACGAGCATGAGCATATTGTTAATGTCCATTCTTGACAATGCTACAACTTAAGACATTTAATGATATCATTTATATGCATTAGTGTTTGTCTCACATCTTTCGATCAATCATTATTGGAAATGCATATCATAATGACTTCTATCTAATGCTACTGAATTTATCAATATGTAAACATAAGAATTAATAGAATGAATTATTTATTATTATTAAAATAAATGATGCAATAATACATTAACATGAGTCAATCCAAACATAGTTGGATCTTGGGCACCAACACTAACAATCTCCCACTTGCACTAAAACCAACCAGCCATGTCTCTTAATCTCGATGATCGAGTGAGAGTCGGATGTTTTAGCTATGATAAAGGCTTAGTCCGGGGTCAACTATTTTATTGTAGTGTGGTTTTTTTTCTATCTTTATGGTACCACAAACTTTTATCTCTATAATCAAGTGATAGTATTGTAGTACATGCTTAGACCGTTGATGAGACCTTAGTTTCTAAGCTCGTGCTATGGATCCTTTGTTATTGGTCATTAAGTCAGTTCGACATTGGAATAAAACTTTTTATGATTGTTCCATACTAAACTTTTTAGTATCATGTCATTGTAACTACCTTGGGAGACTCCTCATATTCCAAGTGATCTATCTCTATAAATCTATACTCTTAGCTTATAGGTTTCTCTCACACGTCATCTTTGGAAAATTTCTTCTTGATTCCTTAATATTTTATTACAACATGATATTATAGTTGAGGTGTAATTTTGTGTCGAATAACCAAGACTTAATAGACTCCCACTAGCTTTTTATACGC